CGTCTCAACCTCACATGGGCTGTCTCAACCTCACCGGGGTTGTTTCAACCTCACTGGGGCCGTCCCAGCCTCACAGGGGCCATCCCAGCCTCACAGGGGTCGTCTCAACCTCACCGGGGCTGTCTCAGCCTCACCGGGGCCGTCTCAACCTCACCGGGGCCGGTTCAGCCTCACCGGGGCCGTTTCAATTTCACTGGGGCCGTTTCAACCAAGTCATTCATTCTTTTTTTTTTTTTTAATGTTTTATTGATTTTTTACAGAGAGGAAGGGAGAGGGATAGAGAGTTAGAAACATCGATGAGAGAGAAACACCAATCAGCTGCCTCCCACACACACCCCACTGGGGATGTGCCTGCAACCAAGGTACATGCCCCCTACCGGAACCGAACCCGGGACCCTTCAGTCCCCAGGCTGATGCTCTATCCACTGAGCCAAACCGGTCAGGGTGAGTCATTCATTCTTAATGGGACTTTAGATGAGGTTTCATTGAGAACAGAGCTTTGGAAGATCTGAATGGGCAGAGAAGACAGATGGGGAGTGGAGTGGGAGGAGAGAAGGCATATCAGGCCAAAGGTTCTCAGTGAACAAAGGCACTGAGAGAATTGTGTGTGTGAATGGTGAGGGCTGGGGTGGCTCAAGTATAGGATGCAAAGACATACATGATAGAGCTGAGGTGAGAAAAATAGGTTGGAGAAGAATCATGGAAGGCCTTGAATGCCTCCCTTGTCCCAGGAAGTATATGCATTATTTTACAGATACACAGGCATTTAGAAGGCATTTTTGAGCAGGAGAGAGACATGATCAGATCTGTATTTTAGCAATATTCCTCTGGCAATGGTGTAAAGAACAAAATGAAGATGCAAGGAAGTGGAGGAAAGTTGACATGTGATGAATACTGCACATACTCTACTTCTTTTCAAAGAAGGATCCTTCACAGAAAAATGACTCCTGAACTTTTCTGAAGCTTGAGTATGTGTTTGCAGATGGGGTGTTAGAAAAAGGCATTCCAGACCCAAAGAATAGCATATTTAAATGTGTAGGCAGGAGAGAACATGGTTAGCAATTAGCATGTATTTTTTCTGAGCTTTGAAAGGACCAAAGACAAACTTGAGAGATATCAGACTCCCCACCAAGCAAATCTATGCAGTTCTGTTATTTTGATTTGGAATATTTCCCCTTCTGCCTAAAGAGCATTCTTCAGAATTTCCTTTTGTATGGACATGTGGGCAACAAATAGACTCTCTTCCTATATGTTGTTGTGTTTATTTTTAGTGATATGCTAGGGGAGGAATGGTCACCCTGGGGGCAAAGTCCTACCCTACAATTGTTATTACTAGGCATCCAGGGCTTTTCACCCACATGGAGGGCACACCGCGAGTACCCAGCTTGGGTGAATGGGGAAGCTGTGCCACTGGATCCTATAGGACACCTACTGCATTAGCCTACTCTATCAAGCCTGGGAGATACAGTAGCTCTACCTGATACATAGAAACAAGTACAGGGAAACTGCCAAAATGAGGAGACAAAGAAAGAGGCCCCAAGTGAAAGAACAGGAAAAGCTCCAGAAAAATAAACAAAATGGACACTAGTTACCCTGGCCAGTTTTGTTCAGTGGTTAGAGTGTTGGCCTATAGACCAAAGGGTCATGGGTTTGATTCCTGATCGAGGGCATGTACCTTGTTTGCAGGTTCAATCTCCGGCTCCAGTAGGGTGCGTGCAGGAGGCAACTAATTGATGTGTCTCTCTCACATCGATGTTTCTCTCTCTCTCCCCCTCCTCCCTCTCTCCCACTACTTATAAAAAAACCAATGGAAAAAATATCCTCGGGTGAAGATAAAAAAAAAAAATGAAGCGAAGCAATCTACTAGATGCAGAGTTCAAAAGACTGGTTATAAGGATGTTCAGTGAACTTAATGAGAACTTCAACAGCATAAAAATGGACATGAAAATTATAAAAAAGAACCAGTCAGAAATGAAGAATAGACTAACTGAAATGAAGAATAATCTACAGGGAATCCACAGTAGAGTAGATGAAACAGAATCAAATCAGCAATTTGGAATATAAGGAAGCAAAAAGCACCCAGTCAGAACAATAAAAAGAAAAAAAAGGAGCTTCTGGCGCAACTTTAAGTGTACCAACATGCGCATTATGGGGATGCTGGGAGGAGACGAGAAAAAGCAAGAAATTGAAAACCTATTTGAAAAAATGACAGAAAACTTCCCTAATTGGTGAAGGAAATTGACATACAAGTCCAGGAAGTCAGAGAATCCAAAACAAGATGAACCCAAAGAGGCCCTCACTGTGACACATCACAATTAAAATTAAGTTAAATTCCCAGTACAAAGTTAACCACTTGGGTAAATTAACAGAGAATTAAACTAGCATCAATATTATCCTAAAATTCAGAGTCCCTTTTCTTTAAAACTAAATAAGATAGTTCCTTGGAGAGAATAGAAGCAGCTCACTTTTAGGGTGCATGAAGCTAACAGATGATGATTTCAAAACCCGGAGAAGGCGTTAGCCTTCCTTATTCTGCTTTCATTTCCCTTTCCCATATTATTCAAATATTTCCTAATCTGTGATGGAAGGGAGTTAGCGCAATGTCAGAGCCCCATAAGACCAGCGTGATTACAGTAGAGGTTGAAAGTTAAAATTTGTTCTAAATTGAGTACAGTGATCAAGGATGCGTCAGATTATGGGGAATGCAACAGAAAGCATTTCTAGGAAACAGCATGATAGTAATATGCCTTAGGTGTACAATTTGGCAATGATATACAGGATGAGATTTCAAGATAGACTGGAATGAAGGCTGTTGAAATAATTTAAACGCTGTCAGCAAATATTTATTGAGTGTCTACTTTATCATTGCACTATATACTGTGGAGGATACAAAGATGAGTTAGCGGGTAGACTTATATGGCAAAGAAATAAATAATTTTAATATTAGGTAGAAAATTAAGGGTATGATTTCTCTCTCCCCAGAATCTCTGATCTGCCACAAGAGTGCCTCAAAGCAATGCAGAGGCTGAAAAAAAGACATCTGGTTGGAGATTTTAAAAAGGTTTTTTGAAAAAAGTGTCTTTCTGAGATGGGCTATGAAGCTTGAACAGGATTTCAAGAGGCAGAGAAGGGAAGGAATTTCCAGACAGTGGGAAAACACTACTTTTAACACTGGGTTCAATCCCAGGTCAGCAACCAGTTCTGTCCTCTTGAACAAGTTATATAGTCTCTTAGAACTTTAATTTCCCTTGTATAAAATGAGGATAAGAATTGTACCTACCTCATAGTGTTGTAAAATTTTAATAATAATACACATTCATTGACATATAATCGGTGTCCAAAATTTGTTAGCTGGGACTGTTAAAATTATAAAGTGAGTGAAAAAGTGCAGGGGATAAGTGTGGATGTTCTGGAAACATGAAAACTAGTTGCTTTGAGTATAAGGTTTATGTGTGAGTATAGATGGCATAGTCTGTTTGGGCTGCTATAACAAAATAACATAAACTGGGTGGTTTATAAACAACAGAAATTTACTTTTCATAGTTCTGGAAGTTGGGAAGTCCAAGATCATGACTCTGGCAGATTCAGTTCCTGGTGTGAACCCCTTCCTGGTTCATAGATGGCTGTCTTTTTGTAGAAGGGCTAAGGGGGCCTCTTTTATAAGGGCAATAATCCCATTCATGAGGGCTCCACCCTGGAAACCTAATCTCCTAATAAGGCCCCACATCCAAATACCTTCACAATGGAGATTAGGTTTCAAAATCTGAATGGGGGAGGGTGGAACGTCCAACCCTCAGACTATAGCAATAGTGAAGATGAAGCTGTAAAGTATAGGGTGATATGTTTTTTAAAAATTTGATTTTATTTCTTTAGAACAGTTTTAGGTTCACAGCAAAATTGAGAAGGTAAAGAGATTTCCCATATACCATCTGCCTCCACACAAGCATAGCCTCCCCCATTATCAACATTCCCCATCAGAGTGGCACATTTGTTACAAAGGATGAACCTACACTGACACATCATAATCACCCAACGACCATAATTTACATTAGGATTCACTCTCGGTGTTGTACATTCCAAGTGTTTGGACAGATGTATAATGATATGTATCTACCATTATAGTATCATACAAAGTAGTTTCACTGCCCTAAAAATCTTTTGTGCTCTGCCTATTCATCCCTCCTTCCCCTAACTCCTGCCAACCTGATTTTTTTAGTGTCTCCATAGTTTTGCCTTGTTTTGGACTTGTATAGTATATAGCCTTTTTAGATTGGCTTCTTTCATTTAGTAATGTGAATTTAAGGTTCCTCCATGTCTTTTCCTGGTTTGACAGCTGATTTCTTTTTTTTTTTTTTTAAATATATTTTATTGATTTTTTACAGAGAGGAAGGGAGAGAGATAGAGAGTTAGAAACATTGATGAGAGAGAAACATCGATCAGCTGCCTCCTGCACATCTCCTACCGGGGATGTGCCCGCAACCCAGGTACATGCCCTTGACCGGAATCGAACCCGGGACCCTTCAGTCCGCAGGCTGACGCTCCATCCACTGAGCCAAACCGGTTTTGGCAGACAGCTGATTTCTTTTTAGTGCCAAATAATATTCCATTGTCTGGATGTACCACAGTTTATTTATCCATTCACCCACTGAAGGACATCTTGAGGGCTTCCAAGTTTTGGCAAATATGAATAAATCTGCTATAAACATCTGAGTGCAGATTTTTGTGTGGACATAAGTCCCCCCCCCCAATAAAACATGAAAATATTTATGTCATATCTACACAATTTAAGTGTCAGCTATAATAAATGCTGTATCTTTTAAACAAGCTAGAAGGATAAGGAATGTTATGTTCAATCTGTACATTCTCTCTGCAGCATTAGCGTGGAAGACTGACGTTTAAATCGGGCAATCATAGATGTGAATTTCCTGATCATCTCCAATGGACGCAATTTTTGAGCCATTTCCATTGTATTTTACTCCCCAGACCTGATCCTGGTGGTCGAAGAAGGTGTGAACACAAGTCTTCGTTCCAATGTCCTAGACTTTCACACTCTTGTCAGATGAACTGGAAAAAAAGTGAGTGTTGTCAGGATAGAACGCCACATTCAGCACCCAGGACACGGGGCCACTCAGAGTGCCAGCTAAGTTGGGGTGTTGTACATCGTAGATCTTGTTGTAGCCATCATCTGAAGCAGTGATGAGGAGCTTGGAATCTGGGGGAAAGGTCACGGGGCGAATGGGCATGGATGGCATGGCCTTCCAGCATGTGCAGCAGTATCCCGGTTGCAATATCAAAAATATTAATGATCCCGTCTATGGCTCCACCAGCCAGATACCTCCCATCAGGACTATAGGCAATGCTAAGAATGAATTGTCCAAAGAATATTCCTTTTTCCCACTTTCCACTTAAAAAATGTTCACTTTCCCCACATGAGTTCCTGTGGCCAGATACTGGGAATTAGGAGAAAACGCCAAAGTCCAGGCATCCACCCCTCCTGCATCTATGAACTTTATCAGTTTGCCATACTCCAAGTCCCAGAGACAAATGTGGGCATCGAGAGAATTGCATGCACCGATGGACAGCGTGTGGCTGATGTCCACAGACACCATGCTCAGCTGATGTCCTTCCAGACTTTCACCAGGTCATCCAGGGACCCTATGACCACTGTCTCAGAGTTTTCTTTCTTGTTTGTCCCCCAGGCCACTAAGTGACATCATCATGGGCTTGCTCTTGTTTGAAGACAATACTATACTAGTTAGTCATTTCCTTAGCCAAGGATGAAGGGCTAAAGGCCAGACATCTCGCCTCACTGCCCCGTCGCATAGCACAGACGCATGTCTAACCTGGACATACGTTTTTAACTTTTGGACAAATACTAAGGAGCAGAAGACAGCTGAACAATGATTTCTCTCTCATCACTGATGTTTCTATCTCTCCCTCTCCCTTACTCTCTGAAATCAATAAAAAATATATTTAAAAAAAACATTAGGGAGCTCACAAAATCTCTGGGAAAGTCAAAAAGCCAGTCAGGCTTGGAGATCAAGTAACCAGGAACATTACTTAAACCACAGAGACAGAGATGCTCAACCTAGGATGCTACTGAACGAAAACACAGTTGACATGAATACTACAACTCATATTGAGAGACCAGTCGGGAGCCGAAAAGTAGGATTATAGGCTTTATTAGGGGAAAAAGACCTGCCGGGCTGTTTCGCAATGGGAGAGCAGCAACCCGTGCAGAGGTGAGCACGCCTTTTGAGGGGAGGAATGGGAAGGAATGGGGGCTTAGTGTACTCGGCGCACACTGATTGATGGCTTAACGTATGGTCCATATAGGAACAAGGGCTTAGGGCAGTGGTCGGCAAACTGCGGCTCGTGAGCCACATGTGGCTCTTTGGCCCCTTGAGGGTGGCTCTTCCACAAAATACCTCGGTATTTTGTGGAAGAGCCACCCTCAAGGGGCCAAAGAGCCGCATGTGTCTCGCGAGCCGCAGTTTGCCGACCACTGGCTTAGGGTATTTGGCAGGGGTTGATTGGTGGTTCAATGTATAGTCCATATAAGGTACATGGTTAGTCACTCAGGTATTTCGAGCTGCAGGTATGGTTAGTCAGTCACTCAGGTATTTCTGGGCTGCAGGTCAGGTCATACTCCGCCCACCACTTGGGGGAAGGGAGGATCTATCACATACAGTTAACACGGGACCAGATGGCCAGAAAATCTGCTGCTGCCGCTGCTCATCTCTACCATTATTTCTCTCTCTCTCTCTTTACATTTTTTTAAAACATTTATTTTTTAGAGAGAGGGGAAGGGAAAGAGAGAGAGAAAAACATCAATGTGAGAGAGAAACCAATCGGAAAATTGGTGATCTTAGGTAAAGTGAATTACCAAAATGATGAAGGATTAAAGGGTGAACTTGTATTGCTCTTATTTTACTGAGTAGGTTCTACTGATCTCCTGTATTGGGGGCTCTTTTGATGCCTAGTGTACCCACTTTGTCTCCAAAACCATAGAGATAGGGCTGGAGGCAGCTGACCTCGAAGATTTTAAATGAAACTGAAATGAAAGTTCACTTCCTCTTCGTGGATAACTCATGTGACAAGTTCCAATTTCTTTTTAAAGTCAAATTTAGCTGAAGTCTCTTCGCTGCCTTTGAAATCTTTGGAGAGAGACCACCTTCAAGCATTCTTAATATGGGAGCACCTGCTGGTTCCAATATGTATGTACTGTCTGGGTTTTGTTTTCTCGCATTTGGTCTTTAAACTCTTTGTGTTTTCAGCTTGCTCTGCCTGCCAGGTTTTAAATCTTTGGTTTCAGGAAGTAAACTAAAAAATCAAATGGCTCAATTTGCCTCTTTGCTTTTGGACTAAAAGGAACTTATTTTTGAAAAGTTAAATGTGTGCTGGACATCTAAGCCTGAGGCTGAAATGTAGTTTTCTTTGGCGTATAATTTGAAGATTTACATGGTTACACTTCCAGTTATTTTGAATTAAAAAGAAATGGAATTAAAAGGACAATCCAGTTTGAGAAAGGGTTAGTCACTGAATTTCTGTTAAAATGTTTTTGTATTAAATAGATAAGTGGTGTTTTCAAAAGAAGTTAATTGCTTCCTTTGAAATCAATATTTTGATTGCTGGGGGGAAAGTTTAAAAAATTAACTCAATAAAATGACCTTTGGATGTGAAAAGAATACTTGGGAGTTGTCTTTTAACCACCTCTAAATGTTGTGAATATTTATATCGGCCAGTTAAGAAGAACTCACGCATTCAAAAATTCTGAGAATAAATGATTTTTCTGAGGTTTGCCTTCCCATTAATAAGGAAAGAGGATTTCCCTTGATTAGATTTGTTGGCAAATCCTGGAAAGTCCCTGCTTCCTGCAACAATGCCAACCCTGAAAGTGAGTTTGGTTTACTAAATACCAGGAAATTTCTGAAAATCACTTTTTAAAGAGCTAATAAGCATTAGTAGTAGTATTTCTGACATGAATCTGCAGTTATTCCCTGTGACTATACAGGGTGGGGCAAAAGTAGGTTTACAGTTGTTTGTATGGAAAATAATACAATAATTCATAAAAATAGCACAAAAATAAATTTTGTACATGAAACAGTGTTTATTACAAGAATAAACTCTGTACACGAGTTTATTCTTGTATTATTATTTATTACTTAATTATTGTATTATTTTCATACGAACAACTGTAAACCTACTTTGCCCCACCCTGCATATCCTCCCAAACTTTTCCTGTGTAATTCTGATTTGTAGTATTCTGTCCCTTTGACAGACTTTGCATTGCTATTTTTTGTTATGAAAGATATGGTCACAATAGATGCAGCTAACAGCTACTCTTCCAATGTGACCTTTCCTTTCACAGGATGAAATGGCTGCTCCTGGTTCTCCTGGGGTGCTCCTCTGCCACGGCACAGCCGCACAAAGACCCCACACTGGATCACCACTGGGATCTCTGGAAGAAAACCTATGGCAAGCAATACACGGAAGAGGTAGACGGGATTGCCACTTGAGCGATCGGCTTTTATTCGAGTGCTCTGTGCTTTATCCCTCTCAAATTATATTCTTACAAGCAGTGTTTTCAATAAATGTTCCGTTCACATTTCTTGCCAGATTCTGCTCTTGGTACAGCAGGAAACAAAAAAAACAAACAAAGTTCCTGTTTTTATAGAGCTTATACCCTAGTAGGAGAGACAGGAAATAAGTCAATAAATAAGCAGGTATATAGTATGTTAAATGGTGATAAGTGAAGTAGAGAAAAACAAAGCGAGGCATGGAGGGTAGGAAGGGCCCTGGGTGATGGCTGGGGGAGGCTGGGAATGATTATTCTATAGGACAGTCAGGGAAGGCCTCACATACTGGTTGGTATAAGGTGACATTTGAGCAGAGAATGGATAGAAGCCAGGGAGCAAGCAAAGTGGATAACTAGAGTGAAGGTCCCAGGCCATGAGGAAAGAGTACATGTTTGGGAAATAAAAGACCCTGATTTCCGCCCCTGGCAGATGGAATGCCAGATGTTGTTTCTTGACTCTCACTTCCCACTTTGTACTCTTGTTTTTATTTCAAAACATACTTATTGATTTTGATTTTAAGTCCTTAACCCTAGTGCTCCAAATAACTAAGTCCTGTAACTACAGGGTGTCCCCCAAAAAGGTATACATACTTTGAATAATTATAAAGGCAGTATTTATTAAAATACATTTCATTTTCAAAATGTAGTAGAATCTACAGACATTGTATATATACATTTTGTGGGACACTCTGTATATAATACTAATGAGTTTGTAGGCAAACATGCAATTACTTATTTGATGTACCATTTTTGTATAAAAAGATACTTTGAGTAGAACGTGCACTCTGAGTTGTTTTCTTGGAACGATGAACTTCACCCTCACTCTAATTTCAAAGTCCACTAGAGTTAGATGTGCAGATGGCACCACTTTCTGGTTAAATTAAAGCTATCTCTCTTTTTAATGATTTCACTCCCTAAGGAGAAATAAAAATGACTTTCCATTGGTATCTTACCTTAATTTATTTAATTATCCTACTTTACTTACCTCAATAAGTTCATTTCTTGTTTCCTTTCCTATACTTCATTATATTTATTTTTCTTTATTCCGTTTTTTCTATTCTAGTGGTTTAGAATAATAAATACCAGAAGAAAATGGAGAAATAGCTTCAAATCACTAAAGAAACATAGCTAGAAAGAAAAGAAAAATAGCTAGAAATATATAATCAGTTAAACTATCTTTCAAGATTGAGGGCAAAAAAAATTTTTTTAAACCTGTAAAGATTTCGTGAATTTACTACCTACAAAGGATATACTTCAACCAATAGCACTTTGTAAAAAAAACAAAAAAACAACAACAAAAAAAAACTCTTTAGCAGATTGAAGAAGTTCATTATATATCATAAAATAATATTAATCACATCAAGCAATTAAGAGCAAGAATTAAGATTAATATACAGTTTTACCCGTTATATCGAATATATTCATTTATTTAGATGCCCCCTTGCAGATCCGCATTTGGTAGAATGCTTCATAATATGTTTATTTTCATTACTGAACACTTACTTGTGCAGGATTCAGTACAACTATGTTCTTTTTCCTAACATATTAGAATGAGGAAGTAACACGACGTTTCATCTGGGAAAAGAATCTGAAATTTGTGATGCTTCACAACCTGGAGCATTCAATGGGAATGCATTCATATGATCTAGGCATGAACCACCTGGCAGACATGGTAGGTAAACCACAGATAATCCTACTCTTATCTCTTGGTAAGCATGATTTCTGTCTTTCAAAAGCAAATTGAAAGTAAATGACAAAGGCCAATTATCTACATGTACAAAATTAGAAAAATGCAGAATTTAAAGACAAGAATTTGTACAGATTCCTTTAGTCCTACTGTGACCACTTTCCTTAACAAATCCCTTCTTTATTTTAAACTCATAGACTACTATTGTTTTTTGTTTTTATTAATTTTAGAAAGCATTGCCCAATTTTTTAAAGCCTGGTAAGACTACTCACAATCTTGTAGTTACCATACTCATGTAAGTCTAAATTGACAATTTAGTATGGTCCACCTGCTTTCTTAATTGGGGAATGCAGGCACTTAATATCACACAAAAAATCTCCCATTTTAGATTCTGAACTACCCTGCAAAACTGCACCACTGTGGCCAAAATTAAGAATCATAGGATCATTTGAGATCTTGCTCCTTGGAATCACCGTACCCCTAGGAAGGGAACATCCTAGGTAGATTAAATTCCCACTTAAATGTTGGACTCTCCTTTGTAATGCTTTCTCACAAGAAAGACCAGTTCAGTTCACTTTTTAGACAGCTCTTTTATAGAATTATGCCTTGCTTTGAACCAAAAATCTATCTCCTTGTAACTTCTAGTTTTTATAATTTTCTTCTTCTCCTTCCCACTGTCTAACTGGGATACTAATGCAAAATGTAAGAGTAAAAAAGAGACCCAGATAATTCACCCACGAGGTAGTTAACAGTATCTATGATGGTCACAACTACCACTTGTTTTTTCTCAGATGTCAAATACACGGAGTGGCCAGATTATTATGACCACCCCATCAGTACTTCATTGACACTTCCAAAAATACTGAATATTGAAAACATCCTAAGCAAATACTCTCAAGGTTTTATTATTATTATTATTTGCATAACTAATTCACTTCATTGTACTGATGGGGATGGTCATAATAATCTGGCCGGTCATAATAATCTGGCCACTCAGTGTATATTCAGAGTTATAGTTACTAGGATATTGAAAAGCAGGATATAAATGAAAGGATATATATATATTTTTTGCCTTGTAGACCAGTGAAGAAGTAATGTTATTGATGAGTTCCCTAAGAGTTCCCAGCCAATGGCAGAGAAATGTCACTTACAAGTCAAACCCTAACCAAAAATTACCTGATTCTATGGACTGGAGAGACAAGGGTTGTGTTACCGAAGTGAAATACCAGGTGAGTACCATCATGCCAGGCCTCTGTACCCCAGGTAGAGTTCTCTCTTCTGTAAATACTTAGTCTAGCTACATAATTTGGCAGTGCATCTCCCTTATGTACTTTCTAATTATTTTTATTATTCTGTCTTCTCAACTAAATTGTGAGCTTCTTGAGAGCAAGGACCACATACCATACTTTATTTGTATTCCTCACTAACGGTTAATGCCACATTATACAAAAACTGTGAACTAAGCAAATAGGTCAAGACAGACTTTCAGTGCTCATGCTATCCATCGACTGCACTGGACCCTCCACCACGCTAACTGCTTGAGAAACAATATTTTGTGTGAGAGAATATCTCCCTCCATCTCACTTATGAAATTCAGGTTGGAAGGAGAGGAAGGAGTTAGAGCTCAGAGTAAATCACACAATTGATTCGATTAGGCTTGCATTGTTAGAATAAGAAATACAGCTTTAAATTTTTGTTTCTATGTTTTTATATTTCTTTTATTTTGCTTGTAAAAAAAAAGCTACAAAAATCCTAAATTAGGGCTAAATAAGAGTAAAACACATATATCACCTTAGAGATCTAGGTAAGGAAGAATCAGAATATTCTAAGCACCTGCCCCGGCTTGTGACCCATAAAGAATGTAAAAATTAATGAGTGAATGCTACTGTTCATCTCTTTTTCCACCTAGTTATTTTTCTTTCAACTAGTTTTGGGTTTCTTAATGGAGATTATCTAAAATAAAAGTTTGGGAAGATCTGATAAACTACTTATTTAGGTGTTGACTATAAATAATGTAATGAACTTCTTTCCCTGGGTGCTTGCATTTTAATAGGTGATTTTGCTTTAACCCAAAGCAAATTCAGTGTGCTTTCTTTGGGTAGAGAGCAAGGTGGGATGAGAAGAGAAGAGAGTGAGAGCAATTATGATTGGGCTCTGGACCCTCTATACCTTTTGTTTTTCTGTTTGTAAAATATCTTTGGATTTAAAAATTCAGAAGCTAAAATAAATTTTTGACCTTATGTTTCAGGCATGGCATCATTTGGCAGGAGAAAGGGCATTTTAGATCAAGGGAATCACCCCAGCTCCTTTCAAATCATTTTATTGTAGGAAACTATTTCCTTTATTTATGGGTGAAAATAGCTTAATAAGTACTGTTTCTTAATATGTTTGAATATGGCAATTATGCTTTGAGCTCAGCCATTTGCAAATCTTTATCAAGGCTGAACCTTGCCCAGAGAATGAGCAGGGGTGTAGCCTTCATTCCCATTGTCTAAGACAATGATTGTCAACCTTTTTCATCTTATGGCACAAATAAACAAATTACTAAACTCTGTGTCACAACAACAACAAAAATTTTTTGGCCTATCTGACACAAAAAATAGGTATAATTTTGATTCATTCATACTGGATAGCTATTGTGTTGTCATTTTTGAAAAATATGTTTTTATTGATTTTATAAAGGAAGGGGGAGGAGGAGGAGAGAGAGAGAGAGAAAGACAGAGAAACATGATGAGAGAAAAACATCAATTGGCTGCCTACCAAATGCCCCCCTACTGGGGCTCAAGTCCTGAAACCCAGGCATGTGCCCTGACAGGGAATGGAACCTGTGACTTCTAGGTGCCTGGGACAATGCTCAACCAACTGAGCCACATCGGCCAGGGCAGCTGTTGTCACTTTTTTATTTGACAATCTAAGGGAAAAGAAGTCAGTTTCCTTGTATGTTTTAAAAATTCTTGCAGCACACCGGTGTGTTACGGCCTACCAGTTGAAAATCACTGGTCCAAGGAGAAGAGGAAATGATAGTGGGGGAGCTCTTCTGAGAACTATGGACAGGGCTGACATGTTGGGTGTTGCCCAATTTGGGTGTTACTAACTTTCTATGATTGCCTATATGACTCTGTCTCTGTTTCAGGGTTCTTGTGGTTCCTGTTGGGCTTTCAGTGCTGTGGGGGCCCTGGAAGCACAGCTGAAGCTGAAGACAGGAAAGCTGGTGTCTCTGAGTGCCCAGAACCTGGTGGATTGCTCAACTGGAAAATACAGCAATAAAGGCTGCAATGGTGGATTCATGACAGAGGCTTTCCAATATATCATTGACAACAATGGCATCGATTCAGAAGTTTCCTATCCCTATAAAGCCATGGTGTGTCACAAGGAAATATTTTGGGCTGCCCCATGATCTTATATCCCTTGACTGACTGTACTAAACTCACCACCAAGCCAATTATTTGAGAAACAGTGTTATGCGTATAAGAATCCTGATTAGGAATTCTAAATTCTCAAGAGTTCTCTTTCTTATGCAGGAGCCTTCTTAATTTATCAGTGGCATATTGGTTTTAGACAAGCAAATACAATTCATGCTTAGAAGTGGAATTTCAGCAAACCTTCCTTAAAATTCTTTCTAAATATCTGCCTGGTATTTAATCTCTTTGTCCTGTAGCCTCCCATGATTACTCTTATCTCAGATCATCAACCACATCATTCTTCTAGCAGCTAGCTACTAAAAAACTAAGTAATGCTCTCTTCCTCCTCCTTGTGAGTTCATAATATATTTTATTAAACAATATAAGTAATATATCCATCTATATTGCAGAAAATTTAGAAAAGATAAAGTCACTCCAAAACCTCCTACCTTATCTACTATTATTTTGGTTTATTTCTTTCAAGTTCTTTTTCTACTAAGCACTTAAAAAGCATAGTTGTATAAACAAACATGAATCGGTAACCCCCCCTTTCCCACATGAAATATACTGTTTTCCATATTACATGGTTGTTATAAACCATTATTTAAACTGCAGATCATCTTGTAGGCATTATATTACCAAAAAGATTTTAAAGCTCTAGTCTAGAGTTTATGATCTTTATGTTGTACACTCCTACAATCCACCTTAGAGTGTGAGGGACATTATCCTGGCAACTTATGCACATATGAAGATGTGCATAATGTAAAACAATAGAATAATTCTATATATCCTCTGCTATTGATGAAACATGGAACTGGGCTTTGGAAGGTTTGATTTTCTTTCTTCAAAAACAGGAAGGCACCTTAGATACTTGAAAAGGCTAAATGAGGAAAGAAAAGATATTTGAAGTCCAAACTTAGGATATTGGTGATTTATGAAAGAAAGTGAAGTATACTTCTTTATCTCATTTATACTTTTTTTTTCCAGGATGGAAAGTGCCACTATGATGTAAAAAATCGAGCTGCCACATGTTCAAAGTATGTTGAACTTCCTTTTGGTAGTGAAGAGGCCTTGAAAGAAGCTGTGGCCAATAAAGGACCTGTGTCTGTTGCTATAGATGCGAGTCATCCTTCTTTCTTCCTCTACAGAAGTGGTAAAAACTCAGATATAGTATCCTCTTGTTATATTCTGCCTTTGCACTATTAGAAAGAATATTATCCACCTCTGAAAGTTTTGAGTAGGATAAACAGAACCCTCCATTTCATATACACATTTTATACCCAGTTCTAACTAGTAAAGTAACACTTACCAAAGTTTACTAACACTATATGCCAAGTACCATGATGAATTCTTTCTATGCATTATCTCATTTAATCCTCACAATAACCCTATTTTACAGATGAAAAACTTAAGTCTTAGGTTAACTTGCCTAAAGTCACACATTCTGAAAATGGTTAACTGGGATTAGAAACTGTGCTACTTGACTCCAGCACCTGTGCTCCTAACCACTGTAGCCACTGTGGACTATAGGTGCAGCATAGCAGTATGTAGTTAAAAAGAAGGGCACCCACTGATGGGTAGAAGGCTATAATATTTTTTCTAAACCTCACCTTAAAAATAATTTAATCTAGCCCTGGCTGGTATGCTCAGTGGTTAGAGTGTTGGCCCCCACATACCTCAGGGTTGTTGGTTTGATTCCCAGTCAAGGGCATGTACCTGGGTTGCAGGTTCACTCCCTGCCCCCCGTCGGAGTACATATGGGAGGTAACCAGTCGATGTGTCTCTCTCACATCAATGTTTCTTTCTCTCCCCCTTCCTCCTTCCCTTCTACTCTCTCTGAAAAGCAATGGAAAAAATATCCTCAGGGGAAGAGTAACAAAAAATTTTAACAAAATCATTTAATCTACTAAGGAATGAAAATGTATGGAAGAAACAATTTAGGAATATTTACACAAAGAAATTCAGGAGGCCCTGGCTGGCTAGCTCTTTGGTTAGAGGGTCATCTGGATAGGACACGGTGGAGGGTCCCATTCCCTGGTCAGGGCACATATAAGAAGCACCAGTGAATGCATAGGTAGCTGGAACAACAAAGCAATCTCTCTCTCTCTCTCATAAAAAAAAAAAAAGAAATACAATAACTGTATATAAGTTAAAAATAATTAGAAAAGGGTGACAGTTTTATCAAAGAAAACTTCTTAGGAAACTTGACAAAAAAAACTGACAAACACAGCATTGATGGCAAAGAATTAAGAAATATAAATAGTTTAAAAATTACAGTATATGTTCCTAAAATTTTAATTAACCTTAGCCATATATGCAAAACAGTCTAGTAAAAGTAAGAGCATTTTCAAATGTCCTTCATTATCACATACCATTCACTCTTTTTCTATCTCCACCCATTTTATTCTCAGGTGTCTACTATGACAAAGCCTGTACTCTAAATGTGAATCATGCTGTATTAGTGGTTGGCTACGGTAACTATAATGGGAAAGACTACTGGCTTGTGAAAAACAGGTAATATATTTGTACTTTAATGTATATTTAATTAAAATCAGGAATTGGAGGGAGCCTCAACAAATGCTTTCTTGTGATTATGGTGATGATCATGATATTGACAATGATAACATCTTATAAAGTGACATTCTAAGTAACTCAGTGCCCCCATTTCTTCACTTCCTATTGTGCCTTCAGCACTTTGTCTTCATGGCTGATCTTCTATAATACTTTTCTGATCATTCCTTCTTGATCTCCTTTAAGAATACCTACTCCTCTGCTTAGCTCACAAATGTTGGTCTTTCCTCCAGGGCTCTATCCTTTGCCCATTACTCTTCTTATTCTATATTTTTCTTGGGTAACATCCTTCCATTCTTAGGATTTTTAGCTATATACTATACTAGAGGCCCGATGCATGAAATTCGTGCAAGAGTAGGCCTTCCTTGCCCCAGCTGCCAGCACCGGCTTCCCTCTGGTACCAGGGACCTGGGCTTCCCTCACAGCCCCAGCTTTGTCTGGAAGGTCGTCCAGAAGGAAGTCCGGAAGGACATCCGGTCTAATTAGCATATTACACTTTTATTATTATAGATACTTTCAAATCTCTAACTCTAACTCTGACCTCTGCCCTGAACTTCAAACTTATTTATTGGGATATATTCACTTCTGTGTATCTTAGTTTCTCCAAACTCAATATATCCAAGGAATTCGTTACCCTCTCTACCATACTGTCCTTCCCTAGAGCTTCCCATCTCATTAAATGACAATAACACACAACACAGTCACCCCACCCAATTAGATACTATGGATTTGGACCCCTCCAGATCCAATCAAGCAACAAGTCAAATTAATTTTTCTTCATATCTGGCCTTGCTTCTGTTTCCTCTCCATTTCTTCTTTTATTGCTCCAGGTCAGACATTTCTTACCTGGACTAGTCCTGTAGCCTTCTAATTTTAATCTCAAATCCATCTTTCATACTGCTTCCAAACTGGTCTATCTAAAAATATGAGTCTGAACTTATAACTCTTCTACTTAGTACCATTCAGTGTAAAATTAATATTCCCTAGTAAAGACAAGTTGTCTATGCTGTGGTCCCTACCTGCCTGGTCAGCCTCAACTTCTGGCACTTGTTGTCTTACACTTCTGATTCTAGTTATTTTGAATTATACACAGTTATAGTTCCTATTCATATATTCAAATATTTATCTTTACCAGGAATCAGACTGTCAACCTTTTGGTGCACAGGATGATGCTCAACCAACTGAACCACCCTGGTCGGGCAGCTAACTTTTAATTCTGAGATGACTCCATAGGTTTTAGAACTATGTACTGTTTCACATCATTTGATGTACATTCAGAAAACATAAAGCCCTCAATTTGGCTCAGTGGATAGAGTGTCGGCCTGCGGACTGAAGGGTCCCGGGTTCGATTCCTGTCAAGGGCACATACCCTGGTTGCCGGCTCGGTCCCCAGTAAGGGGTGTGCAGGAGGCAGCCAATCAATGATTCTCTCTCATCATTGATGTTTCTTTCTCTCCCTCTCCCTTCCTCTCTGAAATAATCAATAATATATTTAAAACAAAACAAAAAAACCATAAAGAGGCTTTTAATATAGTCCCAAATCAAGTTTAAATAGAAAGAGAAATTTTCATGGAGGAAAAAAAATTATTTTAAAGCCAAATAAGTCTTGTTTTTGTAATGAACACCAACATTGTTATTTGATCACCATGAATAATTCAATGCTTTATAGAAACACAAGACTAAGGCATATTAGAAGTACTTCTTTGATAAGATAGGGAAAATCTGTTTTGATTCAGATCCCGTAATAAATCCTTAACTTCAATTCAAGTATATTCTGGGAATTAAAAACAAAACAAAAAACAGACCTGAAGAATTACCAGAATCTCAGCATTGTTCTTCTCCAGGGCTATGTCAAAGGCAGATTTATCAAACTTGCTGAAAGCATGGACATCAGCTCCATATTTGATAAGCAGCTCTACAACATCTCGATGGTGGTATTCTGTGGCCCAATGCAAAGCTGTCATCTTCAGCATATCCTTGGCATTCACATCTGCACCATTCTGTCATAGAAAAGTAATGTTTTCATATAGACATTGGTTACAACAGCACAGGTGCAAGATCCCATCAACAATACAGAGAATTTCCATAGATTACACATATTCAAATTTAGATCATGTTTAAGAAATATCAAAGGGAAAAACATTTCTCAAATTATCCTGAAGCTGATAGACACTAGGGCAAATGATAGCTCATTTAAAATAAGCAATATTTTTACTTATATCTTGTTGACTCCATATAGTATTTACCTTTAATACTAAGTATTCTAAATTCCCTTCTCCATTGAAACTGTTCTTCTTAAAGATTATATATTTCTTTTAGTGTTTAAATCTAAAACCTCTTTTCAGTATTTATTTGTTCAATAAGCATTTACTAGGCATCTATAACATGACAAGCATTATCTAGGCTGTGGAGATACAAAAGTTAATAAGAAATTATCCTTTCCTGATAATGGGGAATTAGATATATTTTTAAATAATAAAATATAACACATGGTATAATGACATATGTCTCAATGATTATGGGACCATAGAGGAAGAGATTCCTAATTGCCTCCACAGAGAAGGCACTACTTGTACTAAGTTTTCAGAGGAGGAATTGCTCCTGTATCGGAGGAGGAAAATAAGTTCCCCAATGACCCGAAAAGCCTATGCCATGGCACAGAAATGTGAAAGACTTCTCTGCTTTATAAACTCTCTGCTGCATTTCTTTCTCCTTCTTTTTTTTAATCCTCATTTGAGGACATGCTTTTAATTGATTTTATTTATTGTTAAATATGTTTTTATTGATTTCAGAGAGAGGAAAGGAGATGGAGAGCTGCACTTTTTATTGCTTACTTTAGAATTCCCTGCCCTATGCCTTTTCTACAGTAGTCTCTCAAAAATATTTAATTGACATTCCCTAAAGGAATTTAAGTTTGATAGAAAATGATCACTTATGATCCTATTATGCAAAAACATTCAGTGGTGAGGCCTTCAAAAGAATAATAACACTCATTCCCTGCATAAGGCATAGTTACAAAGTAGGAGGATTAAAGGTTTGGAATGGACCTTTCAGTGTTTTCTTTACATATTAAGTATTCATCAAAACAGGGTGAGGCAAGAGTAGGTTTACAATTGTTCATATGGAAAATAATACAATAATTAATAAGTAATAATACAAGAATAAACTCTGTGTTTCACGTACTCAAAAAAACCTCCTTTTTCCCCCCCCCCCCCCCCCGGAAAAGCACTAAAGCCTTCTAAACTTCCTTTGAAAATTGCCTAAAGGTCCTTGGGAAATTATTATATTATTTTGTTCTAATTTTGTTTCATAGCTTTTTATTTTTTGAAACAATTTTATTTATTGATTTGAGAGAGAGGAAGGGAGAGGGAGAGAAAGAAAGAAACATCGGTTTGTTGTTCTACTTATTTATGCATTCATTAGTTGATTCTTGTATGTGCCCTGGCCAGGGATCAATCCCACAACCTTGGTGTGTTGGGACAATGCTCTAACCAACTGAGCTACCTAGCCAGGGCCTACAGCTTTTTATATAGAGTTGCTTTATGAGAAACACAATCTAAGAGATAAAATATTGATAATGTGGCATTCATTTGTAATTTTGTGTTATTTCTTTTTCTAAAGCTGGGGCCTCCACTTCGGTGAACAAGGATATATTCGAATGGCAAGAAATAGCGGAAATCATTGTGGGATTGCTAGTTATCCCTCTTACCCAGAAATCTAGAGGATCTCTTCATTATATAACAAGTCAAGAAAGATGAAACACTTTCTCTTCGATTTTACCTGCTAAAACCAGTAGAAATAAGTGTGTCATGATCAATGTAAATATATAGTTTGACTCTTCTACTTTTTTAATTTTGCAGATCTTGAAAAATTTTGCAAAGTAAAAATTAATAATATATTATAGATATAACTGTATGAGAATTAGTCAACCTAATCCAATTTGTCATTGTCTTATTTTACCTCTTTGTCTTTTTATGTCCCCTGATATCCTTTTGTAACTTGATGGAATATGCTTAATAATTATCTGTCTTTTCAACTTAGTATCATTACCACATAACATTCTTTTCTTATTCTTAGGTAATATTATAATCTATCATGAAAAAAGTAAATTGTGGTATGCTGGTGATGGGCTATGGCAACTTTAATGGAAGAAACTATTAAGTTATTAATGTGGCTCAGATTGTATCTTTGCACATAAAAGCATTCAATAAATGTTTTAAATGAAGTTAAAGTAGACAAATGCTTAAGAGACTGTTTTCACACATTTTGTAAGAATTATTTAATGACCAACAATTAATATACTAATTCAATTATTAGAAATTTGGCCAGGACCTTTTTGGAGCAAATAATTAAATAAACCTGAATAAAATAACCAAACTGCATTTGTTTTAATATTTAATATTCCATTTCATTTTTATCTAATTCAGATTGATCTTTCCTCACAACTGCTATAGATATGTAGATGGGTTCTGAAAAGGCAGCAAGAACTTTAAATTTTATAAGCTCATGCCTACGACATAAAATGTGTGTGGGATGATGTCATCAGTATATCTTAAACTGCACTTAAACTAATTTCGCTATCTCTTAATCCTTCTCCATAAAGTACATTTCCCCCCCGATAAAGTACATTTTAAAGAATAAGAATTGCTAACTATAAAAACATGGTTATCCTATATAATAAAGAGCTAATATGCAAATAGTTGTCACACCCTCGCACCCTAGCGCCGGGGCCGGGGGACCTGAGGCCAGGCTGGGGGACCTGAAGCCGTGCCCCTCACCTCGGTGCTGGTGAACCTGAGGCTGTGCCGGGGGACCTGAGGCCGCGGCCCCTACCCAGCGGGGCTTGATGGGGGACCTGAGGCTGTGCCTCGGGGACCTGAGGCTGCACCCCCCCACCCAGTGCCAGGCCAGGGGACTTGAGGCTGTGCCCCCCACACTGCGGGGCTTGATGGGGGTGGGGCCGGCCAGGTCTGCATCTCGCATGATTTCAAGGTGTATGCGGGTGGGCAGGGACTTGACTCTGAGTCCTGCGGCGCGCCCCAGACTCTGACAGGAGAGAGATTTTCATATACATTTTACGAATTTTCTTTCATCTCTGACACTTCTATTATAGAGAAAGGGCAAATAGCAATATTAAAATATTTCCTCTAATTAATTCCCTTTTAATGTGCATGAATTTCATGCACCGGGCCACTAGTACTATATAACTATCATCAAATGTATAGAGACACATTATAATTAAAAATTATTTAGTTAAGCTCCGGCCAGTGTGGCTCAGTTGGTTGAACGTTGCCCCATGCACCAAGAGGTCGCAGGTTCAATTCAGGGTCAGGGCACATGTCCGGGTTCAGGCTCCGTCCCCCATTGGGACATGCAGGGGGCAGCTGATTGGTGTTTCTCTCTCTCTCCCTTTCCTTTACCCTCTCTCTAAAATCAATAAAAACGTATTTTTTTAAAGTATTTAGTTGAGTATTTTTTTATTTAAATTCTTTATTGTTTAAAGTATTATATAAGTCTCCTGAGTATTCTTTTGTTGTTATTTTGCCCTTAATTTTTCAAGCACTGTAAATGGAATAAAAATATGGGTTCTTTACCTTTGTCAGTCTAATGAAGCCTATGGACACCTTCTCAGAATAATGTTCTTAAGTGCATAAAATAAAATATATAGGATTACAAAGGAAGCTGATTATTAAAATGTTAAAATATAAATTTGTGCTATAGTAACATACTGTACATGTTTCTTTATAAATGCATTAAATAACAAGAATTAATAACTATCTTTAATTTGAAGTAGTGATGAGCATATTTGAAGATATCTGCAAAAACTATAAGGTGATATAAAAATATCTGAGTTTTCTTTTGGTTGTAAAATTACGAGTATTGCTAATTTGGTTTATGAACTACATAAAAGAAATGCTAACTTTTAGTTAGAGGTTAGGCCTATATGTTCATGTGTAGACTAATGTCACTGCAATAAAATTTAAAATAAAAAAATAAATAAATCAGTTAGAGGTTAGTGAAAATAAAGATATAATTTTTTGCCTGTCCAGTGTATCTCAGTGGTTGAGTGTTGACCTATGAACCAGGAGGTCACGATTAGATTCCGTCGGGGCATATGCTGGGGGCTGTGGACTCGATCCCCAGGAGTGGCTGTGCAGGAGACAGCCCATCAAGTCTCTGTCATCACTGATTTTCTATCTCTCTCTCCCTCTCCCTTCCTCTCTGAAATCAATTAAAAAAACATATTTAAGAAAAAAACAAAAAACTTGCATTTCTCCTGTTAATCTATCTCTGTCTTTAAATCGTAGCCAACGACCCTAAGAAGAAGTTAGAGGAGAAATTATCCGTCCCCTACAGCATTATTCTGATTCACAGATGGGCATTTACGGTTTCATATTTTTGTGGGTTTTTTCCCCTATAGTTATTAATGACTCAAAATAAATTTAATATGAAGCACCATACCATAAATTTAACATGTCGGCATTTGGGGTTTGGCTCCCCCTCTGCCAGCACTGAAATTAGTTGTGATTGGGGCAAACCAGTTTTACTTGAATAGGTTTTCTCATCTCTAACACAGGAGTCGTATGTGTTGGGAGAGACATAGTAAGAGTAAGGTAGGAGAATGTGACAGTGAATGTGAAAGCTCTTTATAAACTTTATAAACTTTAAGTGTGTGAGAAGTATAAACCACAATAATTATACCAGGGGATTTTCACTATTTTTGACCCTGAAAACAGGGTTCTAGTCTCCATCCTCTCCTATTTGACTCTGGGCAAATCTTTTCATATATGGAATCACTGTTTTCTAACTGATAATACAGACATATCAAGATTATGAATTACTATGATATGTTTACACTTCTAAACCAATTTGTTTGGACATATAACAATCTGCAAACTAAGAAGTTTGTACTGCTAGACAATCTCAAATTACCTACCAGCTCTGATTTTATTATTTTGTTTCTAAGTGAGACATTAATGATATTCTAAACCAGCGGTTCTCAACCTGTGGGTCGCGACCCCTTTGGGGATCGAATGACTCTTTCACAGGGGTCGCCTAAGACCATCAGAAAACACAAATATAATTACATATTGTTTTGTGATTAATCACTATGCTTTAATTATGTTCAATTTGTAACAATGAAAATACATCCTGCGTATCAGATATTTACATTGCGATTCATAACAGTAGCAAAATTACAGTTATGACGTAGCAATGAAAATAATTTTGTGGTTGGGGGTCACCACAACGTGAGGAACTGTATTAAAGGGTCGCGGCATTAGGAAGGTTGAGAACCACTGAAGCTATCTGCTGTCCCCAGATATATGGCACCGGAGAAATTCCTTAAGTCGGAGACCACTAGACAGAGCAAACTGGTTTCCCCCAAGTCACATGAGACTATAAGGTGGTAACGCACGATATGGTAGATTCAATAACAAAATCAAAGAAAACAATCCGAGATTACTATGGTTAATTAAATGGAGGTTGAGGACACTGGTCACGGCAGGAAATCTGTGCATATCGGCACAGTTGTGCACATGCACTTACTTAACCTTCCCCTCGGGCATCTGGCTTCTCTAGTTGAGATGCGGCACCAGGTACTTGGGGTTCCCAGCCTGCCTTGCGCTACTCTTGGCGGGAAAGCTGACCTCGACGACGGGGGTCAAAAGGCTACTGACGCGCTTCTTCCGGGCAACCGTTGAAGGAAAGCGCATGCGCATTGGGCAGAGAGCGTACTTCGCGGCAGCGCTGTCCTGGTCGCTGGTGCCTGTCCGTCAGACGTTATGTAATATATACGTTTGTGTCTGTTTTCCTTTATTAATTTTATTCATAGTCGTAATATTTGCTTTTAAATCTCTTTTTCTGTCACCGGCTGCTTACTTTTAAGTTTCTTAGAGTCTTAATGGCGAAACATTCAGGGGAAAATGTATACCTAGTCAGAGGTCTTTGGAAGTAGGTTGACTCACGTCTCGTCCAGGCTTCGTCAGGATAAATTTAAATGTTTACAGTAAATAGACTCTTCTATGAACTTTTCTAGTTGAATTGTCTGATGAAGAAAAATGACATTGGGGCCGAAAGATGGAAACATCAAAATAACAAAGTTATAATTGAGAAACCAGAATCAGTAAAAAACAAAAATGTAGGATATTTTCTGTTTTCCTTTTGCGGCTGTTCCACAGAGGAGGGCAATACTTTCCATCCAGAGCCGCGCTGCCAGCTCAGCGAAGGAAGGTCACCCGATTCGCTTATTTTGAAACTACAAATTTAAAACAAAAATTAAAAGATTGTTGTGCAGGGTTTGGCAGGGGCAGTTTTTCATTACCCAGTACGTACCTGTACAATGTTGTTAATGCTGGAATACTATGAAGTGAAGAAAAATAGAAGATGATGCTTTTTTTTAAAAAAAAAGCCTGGTAGCCCTGGCCGTGCTCGGGGGCGAGAGCGGCCGCCCGCGCCCGGCAGGGACCCGGTCAAGGGCGCGTCCCCGGGGGAGGCTCCGCTTCCTCTCCGCAATTCTACCTAAAATCTGTGGAACACCCCCCAAAAAAAGGTCTTTGAAAGAGCTTTCTTAACCCATTTGTGTCAGGCTTGCTAGTAAAACGGCTTAAAATGAGGACCTTTCAAGAAGGGCAAAATGAATGTTTTTGAAGATTCCATTTTAAGTAAAGGAATCCTCTCGTTTAGTCACGTACCATTCTTCCTGCCTGGATAGGTAGTAAACTAGAAAAGGGTAAAAATAAGGCCTGACGTTAAAGCTTGTGTTTGTATCACAAGGTTGAATTAAAGACAATACTTCCTCAGAAGATGGCCACTGCCCAGCTGCAGGGAACACCCATGGTATGAGTTTTTTCGTATTTTAATACATTTTAATTTAGCTAATTTTATTGTTGTCTTGAAGTCTCAACTGCTTTTGTATTTGAGAATTAGAGCCAGCTGTTTGAGGGTTTAGTGATATCCGAAAACTCCCATGTTTTGAGAAATGGAGATTTTTTTTTTTTTTTTGCTAAACTGTTTTGAATGAATGGAGAATCCTGTTGGATGATGGCTGCCTCGCGGTCCATGGCCGGTTCAAGGTCAGTTCACCTTGGGTGCGAATGCGTGCGGTCCGGTTGCTCTGATGAAGTTATCATCCATGGCGTCCACTCCTAGAAACCATGTTCACGGCCCACAGAGGTCAGAGGTCAGAGCGCCACCTTTGCAGGGGCCTCGCCTGCACGGGGTTTG